TTGGTAGCCCAGGCTGGCCTCGAACTCACAGCGATTCGCCTGGCTCTGCCTCCCGAGTGCTGGGATTAAAGGCGTGCGCCACCACCGCCCGGCTCGATTATATTATTCTTACAAGAATATTTTGGCAATCAGAAGATCAATTTTTAAGAAAATGCAGTTTTATTTCCTATGATCTAAATAAAATACACCAAGGGAAAGACATCCACAGCAGAACTTCAGAGCCGGCTTCCTTATGAGCATCAGAGAAACTGCTCGCACCCCCGGTCCCTCCCCTCCCGTGTCCCGGCCCCGCAGCTCCTCTGACCTGGGAGGTTCCAGGGACGCCGGGCTGCGGTTCCCGCCACTGCGCTGCTGACTGGTGACTTTCCCAGGCCGCCCCGCGCGGCGACTGCGGCTCCGGGGAGATTTCCGTCCCCCCGACTCCCAGCCGTGTCCTCCGCACCCAGGTCTGCACCACGCGGTTCCCCACCGTGCAGGACCCGGAGCAGCAACAGGGAATGGGCAATCTGCACTGCTGATCTCGGTTACTCTCCGACTTCCCCGCGTTCACTTTGTGTCCCAGCTTCCGTTTACGTCACCTCATTAACCCCGCCCACGCTCCACTCTTCCCCTACACCCAGCCAATGCTCCACATCCTCCCAGGGGCTGTTTCCAGGTGAGTGTCCCCGCCCTTCTAGACCCGCCCCTCCCACTCCTCCCGCTGTCAGGCTGCCCTGGACCCGCTCTGCACAGCCTCCTCACATGCTCGCTGCCAGCCTGGACCAGAACTGGATCTAGGAGGACGCTGCACCCCGGTACCTGACCCCCACAGTGAGTTCCGAGCCCTTCAGATAAAATACAGACAGCCTAACCTCAACTTGATGACTAGACTCCTGGGCTACATGCTTACACCAAATGCTAAATTCAGATTCCAGAGTCCCAAACCCAACACAAACATGAAAAGTAAAAACAAAATTCTGCAATTGTGCCTTGGGGAGAGACGTTTCAGGAACTTTGAATATGAATAGAAATAGTGTCTCCAGAAGTCAGTGGACTGAGTTCACGCCTAGCTGTACAGCTGTCACCACTAGATGGTGGTCTTGTTATTTTACTAACTCAAACAAGTTCTTTTTAGACTAATGCTAAAGGTATATTTATATAAACTACAGGGAAAATTTTTAAATGCAGTGGTGAATGCAGAGACTCTTGCGGTCCCAGATGCAGAAAATGAGTAAGATATTTGGTTCCAGCCCAAAACGTCAGTTATACTGTCCACCTATGGCTCTGGGAACACTGAGGAAGAGGAGTTGGAAAGGAAATAAGAAAAGAAAAGGGAGGAAGGGCTAAGAATGCCATTCTCTAGACTCCACACAGCTGTTGTAATCAGTAACTAATAGCAACTGTACTGACCTGCATGGACCTCACACTAGACCACAATCAGTCTAGGAAAGGGAAATGCTCACAGGGCCCACCCTTTACATCTCAAAAGTTGCAAATGGATGGATTGTAGGAGAAGATCACTGCCTTTAGCTGCAGTCCTCTGCTGAGCCCACCAGGCTCCAAAACGTAGCTCCAAACCCAGTCTCACATTGGCCCTGGTTAATCTCAGTGGGTCCCCAGCAAAATGAATGGAGATGAACACAACAGAGATTTGTTGGAATTGTGGACCAGGATAGTAGAGAGGTAGGATGTGAGAAGTGACAGTATTTGAAGCACACACATAAATACAGACACACTCACATATACACACATCTGCATCACATGTGTATTTGTGAGTGTATAAGTCTATGTGTGTATGTGTGAGAGAGAAATGAGAGAGAGACTATAATGGAAATTTTGTAAATGAGCAAGTCAGTCTGTAATTTCTCTTTGGTTGTACAAGTACCTGGTTTAATATCAGGAATTCTTCCTTTTTGTTTTAAGTATTTATGTAGATTTGCTGTTCTTTGAAGTTCTGATAGAATCCTGACAATCAGGTCATGGGATGGCATGGGGAGCATTTTATTATTGCTACAGTTTCAGGGCTACTTGTGTTTAAGTATTTATTTCATGATATTTAAATTTAATATATTGGGGCTGGAGAAATGGCTCAGAGGTTAAGAGCACTGACTGCTCTTCCAGAGGTCCTGAGTTCAATTCCCAGCAACCACATGGTGGCTCACAACCATCTGTAATTGAGATCTGGTGCTTCTTTTGGCCTGCAGTTATACATGCTGTATGCATAATAAATAAATAAATCTTTAAAAATGCCTGGCGGTGGTGGCGCACGCCTTTAATCCCAGCACTCGGGAGGCAGAGCCAGGCAGATCTCTGTGAGTTCAAGGCCAGCCTGGGCTACCAAGTGAGTTCCAGGAAAGGCTCAAAGCTACACAGAGAAACCCTGTCTCGAAAAACCAAAAAAAAAAAAAAATAATAATATATTAAGTGCATCTGCTAACTTATAAATGTTTCTTTTTTTTAAATTTTATTTTGTAATTTAATTTAATTTTACATATCAGCCACGGATTCCCTTGTTCTCCCCCCTTCCCCCCAGCCCACCCCCCATTCCCATCTCCTCCAGGGCAAAGACTCCCCTGAGGATTGAGTTCAACTTGGTAGATTCAGTCCAGGCAGGTCCAGTGCCCTCCTCCCAGGTTGAGCCAAGTGTCCCTGTATAAGCCCCAGGTTCCAAACAGCCAGCACATGCACTGAGGACAGGTCCCAGTTCCACTGTCTGGATGCCTCCCAAACAAAATGTTTCAATTAGAGTTTCCAGTTCAGTGGACTAGAGGTCTTTAATATCAGTAGAAATGAGATCCATTGTTTATTCATGTCTCTCAAGTAGGATGTCATGACATGATAATAAAAAGTTATATCTAGTTAGAAAAGTTATGCAAGCCTTTTTAAGGTCAGTGTAGTCTACATAGTGAGTGTAGAACAAATGGAAATATGCACAGAGTCCTTGTCTGAAAACAACAAAAACTCTTCCCTGAAGAATAGTTATCATGGTAGCAGAAGCACTATGCAAGCTTCCAAAAATGGAAGCCAATGACCAGTCTTATCCAGCTGTAATGCCTATGAACCACATCAGTGATCATCATGGTACAATAACCCTGAGTGCAGTTGTGGCAAGCATACCTTGGTGGTAACCAATAGTTCTCTAATTGGCCTTAAGAAATTCTTAACAAGCCGGGTGGTGGTGGCACACGCCTTTAATCCCAGCACTCAGGAGGCAAAGTCAGGCGGATCTCTGTGAGTTCAAGGCCAGCCTGGTCTACAGAGTGAGATCCAGGACAGGCACCAAAACTACACAGAGAAATCCTGTCTCGAAAAACCAAAAAACTCTAGAAATAACAGAGACATCTGACTGCCCACCTGGTCAGTCACCCAAAGTTCCTCTGCAATGTTGTGGTTTCCGTCTTCAGCCTACAGGCCCATACTATCTGGTAGACTTTTCAATGAAGGAGGAAATTTGAAAGACTGTCTCCCCTACATTTGCAAAGGTTTCCAGTCACTTTCCTCTGTGTCCTGTACAATGTCTGGCAGTTTCTTCTGTGAAGCAGGAATCCTGGAGGATCATCCTGCCTTGTTTCGGCAAAGTTCAACAGTCACTTTCCTGTGAGTCCTACATGTCCAGTTTATGCAACATACTATCAAGCAGTCCAGGCAAGAGCAGCTTCTTGCCCAAATGGCTAGTCTTGCCATAAGGAGTTTCTTCAATGGCCATCATCTCTGAAGTAAATTTGTGCTGCCAGTAGCAGATGTGTCTCATTGTCATGAAAGGTCCTACATTAACAAAACATTTTAAATGCCATATTCTGTAGGTCTTTGAAAGGTTTGAAGACTGTCTATCTAAACTATATCTCTACGTGATCTAGAAAGCAAACCTAACATATCTACAATTTTGATTGTGATACATGACTCACCCCTAACCTATGTTCCTGATTAACCTATATAGTTTATAATAATAACTTTCAAAAACTAGATCTTTACCCTACATTTACAAATGAATTGCATAGGCACAGTACTTCAAACAAAAAGGAAACATACATACACTGTGCTGTAAAAAAAAACAACCCTGAATTATTATCAATATACAAATATCCCGGGCTGGAGAGATGGCTCAGTGGTTAAGAGCACTGACTGCTCTTCCGGAGGTCCTGAGTTCAATTCCCAGCAACCACATGGTGGCTCACAACCACCCGTAATGAGATCTGGTGCCCTCTTCTGGCCTGCAAGGACACATGCATGCAGAACACTGTATACATAATAAATAAATAAATTAAAAAAAAATATCCCCCAAACAAGAACAGAAACTTACACACAGTGTGTTGTAACAGACCTTAAATTTGTGTCAGTATACAAATGTCCTTACAAATAGAAAATATTTGAGATCGATAATTGTCCCTTAGTTTATAGTAGATTCAATAATCTACCCTTCTATCTTATCATTCCAATATTCCCCTCTCTTTTTTCAAAGAGATCCCTGAATGTAATATCATTTCTATAATTTCCCCCCTTGCCAATACCAGTGACAATTAATAAACAACACCTATAAATGATGACAATCATTCATAACCCACCAAATGACCAAATACCATTCTCCCCACTTCTTAGGAATGTGGGCATCATGTCCCCAAAATCACTTCCTATTGTCTGGCAGTGATGATACCCTGAAAAAACTGAAATATTGGCCAAGTCCTGAAAAAATCAGCAGCGATATTTGTTGTTCAGTCTCTGTGTAATGGGAAAGTGCAGAGCTTATCTGAACTTCCAGCTAAAGTATCCTATGAGGTTGCATCCTCTCAGCTAGTAGCTTTGGAGGTGTCCTGAGCAGTTTGCAGTATGAAACCGATCTTTGAGTGGTGCTTGCCCTGTTAAGGGCATTACCACAATTCTGATAGAGGCCCCATCTTCTATTAGAGATGTCAAAAGTCGCTGTTATGAATGGTCATGGTTCACTGCTGTAAACTTAAGCATTTATTTTTTTCTTAAAAAATTTTCTATTCATTTTACATATCAACCACAGATCCCCCTATCCTCCCTCCTCCCACTCCTCAGCCCCCCAGCCAACCCCCCATTCCCACGTCCACCAAGACTAGGCCTCCCATGGGGAGTCAGCAGAGCCTGATACAGTCAGTTGAGGCGGGTCCAAGCCCCTCCCCCTGCACCAAGGCTGTGTAAGGTGTCCCACCATAGGCAGTGGGCTCCAAAAAGCCCACTCATGCACCAGGGATGGTTCATGATCCCACTGTCAGGGGGTCCCTTAAGCAGATCAAACTACACAACTGTCTTGCCTAAGTAGAAGGCCTAGTCCAGGCCAATGGAAGCTCCACAGCTATTAGTCCACAGTTCATTGAGTTCCCACTAGTTTGATTTGGTTGTTTCTGTACATTTCCCCATCATGATCTTGATGTCCTTGCTCATAGAATCCTTTGCTGTCTTCTGCTGGACTTCTGGCGCTCAGCCTGGTGCTTGGCTGTGAATCTCTGCATCTGCTTCCATCAGTTACTGGATGAAGGCTCTATGATGACAGGGTATTTACCAATCTGATGACCAAGGCAGGCTAGTTCAGGCACCCTCTCCACTATTGCTAGTAGTCTAAGGTAGAGTCATCCTTGTAGATTCCTGGGAATTACCCTAGGTCCCAGTTTTTCCCTATCCCCATGATGTCCCTCTCTATCATTGTTTCTCTTTCATTACTCTCACCCTCCATTCCTGTTACAGCTCAACCATCCTGTTCCCCTACGTTCTCATCTCCCACCCCCTACCCTCAATTGTCCCTCCACCCCCAGTTTACTCATGGAGATCTCATCTATTTCCCCTTCCTAGTGCAGTCCATGTAACCATCT